CTACGATCTTTTACAGACAACCTTTAGACGGTCTATACCGTAAAATATGTAATTTCTGACGCGCTTTACAAAACAATATATTTATGCCATTAGGCAAAAAATTATACGTTAAAATAGTGTATCCATCCTATCACAAAAGATGTTAAACAAACTTTAACATAACTAATCTTTTCTTTAGATGTAAAAGATTTTTCCATATGTACCTACCAGTATCGATTGTAAATAAAAAGTGTTCACACTGCCTAGGTTTTGTTTGTGAATGCGAGTCTTAACAGTTGTTTACGAAAATACATTAAACAAATACATCGCTTTTCAATACCTTTAACATAGTTACATAATTATAGTTATACACATAAGCTGGCAAACAAACAACCTCTGCGTAAATGATTACAGTTGAAAAGTTTGTTTTAACCATTCACAATATTCAAATTTGGCGAATGCGCGAAACGGAACAAAGCATACCTACACACACGTATACGCACGCATACGCATAGGTGCGGCGCCATTTAAATTTTAAGCATATTCGTAACTCTAAACTTTTGCATTAATATAAACGAAGTTTTGTATTGATATCCAAAACGAAACTTCGTTTAATGTATAAGCAAGCTTTCATGAATAATTTATGCTAATTTCAACCAATGTTAAGTTAAAAATAGCGTAATATAGTAGGTCAAAACCACCTTTCTAAGGAAAAGCCTATGTCTATGTCATGTGACATTTAAAAATCTTTTTAAAAAGATTCAACATCAGTCACTATCATCAGTTGAGCAACAGTACCGGTATATTTACAACGAGGTTCCGTCGTTTAAACTTAGAATAACTTTGACACGCTCCAAAATATTTCGATTCTTACAAATTGTTTCGAGATACATTTTATGTCTTGAAACTTTAATTATTATATTTTGGAACACCTGACGCAAAATAAGAACAGCATTACAAGTTTAAGGTAGATGTATTTGTATATCTGTCTTAGGGCGGACCACCTAAACGGATAACCAGTATTTTATTTAGTTGTATTTTAATGAGAACTTGATCGAGAGTGTCCTTAGCTATAATTTAAAATCTGTTCAGCCGTTGCTAGTACATCAACTCGTTTCCGTTTGTTTCATTAACCTACTACTATTACCTTAAAGGTAATTAAAAAAATGTATGCTTGTAAAACTAATGTTGTTTTATTTACTTTCAGAACTGGTCCGATGAGGCCCAACAAGATCAAACATGGTGTATGATACTAGTTATATGTATGCACTTTTTCTACCTCACCAATTTCTTTTGGATGCTTGTTGAAGGTAAAATTGTATTATTAAACTAGTTTAATATAAAGTTTTTTTTTTACAAGTAAGGTTTTGACCTAGTGTAAACTGTCATTTCCTATCAAAACGGACGGACCTTGTCCTATATTTTTTAGTCGATTTGTTTTGAAGTATTTCTAGCATTGTTGGGAAAAAACACATTTAATTTTTAGAATTCTAAGTATCAAAAAAGATTTCCAATAAATTTCGAGCCTTAAAATTTATTTCGTAACATTATGTTTACTTTAAAGCCAAATTAATAAAAACTGCCTAGCGGACTTTCTAACAACAAGCGGCATTTCATTTTTATTTATTAGGAAACTAATATTACACCTACTTAACTGCAAATAGGTTTTGCTGCTGCCATAAAACTAGATTTTAAATTGTCACCAAAATTGCCTTAATATATTTTTATTTTTTAGTAATCAATACCAAAAGTAGTGTTCAATGTGCATCAGGCACATAGCGATTAGCTTTCAAAATTTAATATTTACTTATGACAGATTAATAAACTGTGTTCCATAAAAAATATCAAAACGTGATCCCGCCGTAGAAGCCCGTAAAATCTGTTGATACTCGTAAACTAGGTTGTTTGAGCGCCCACCTAACACTGTAAGGACACTTTTACTGTGTAACTTTTATACTATTTTTTTTCAACAAGTTCTCATAGTTTTAGAACTACTGAAATAATTTATTAGGTTCCAGCTATAAAATATGTAAATATCACACACTAAGGAGACAGGGAGTTCTCGCTATTGTGACCATCAAACAAAGAGATGGATGGCCCTCTGTCATATCGTAATAACGCCATGGCGCATTACAGTTTCAAATCCGAGTAGACACTTGTTATGACCTTGGCCCAGTATTAAAATAAGCTAATAAAGAAAAAAACATTACTAATTTATACCCAATAATAAAAAAAAACCTAATACTATAATATTATGCAGTAGTATGACAAGTAATTACCTAACGACACTGAACACGCTACTGTGTACATCATAATTATAAAATATGTTTTAATAATAAATATCTTATCAATGTACCTTATCTGTATGCAATATATTTGGCATTTTCAGGCCTCTACCTATATATGTTAGTTGTGGAAACTTTCTCAGCTGAAAATATTAAACTGAAGGTGTACGCTACTATAGGATGGGGTAAGTAAACTTGTAACACATCACCTATAATTTTATTTACATCATAACTGTTCTACACATGATTGTTTTATGCCCTACAAGTAGCAAACAGACATAAGTAAGACGTTAATAAAATAGATCACCTAGGCCAAAGAAGGAAAAAGAAATCTATATTATCAATCGAATTGTCTTATGTGGATGTAAATCAAAATCATGAGGCAATCAAGGCCACTTGGCTTGATCAAGTCTCATCAAATCGTATGAATTCAGTTCGTGTAACGATAATGCCCATTTTACATTTCGCATGTGGATTGCGTTAGTACGCAACCCTTAATCGAAATATTGGAACCTATCTAAGTAGATGGGTTCCAATATTTTTAATAGTGATATTTTACTATCGCCTTTTATCAGTTTGGTGGTTATATTTATTAATAATTTATGTAATAAGAACCTTTATGCAATAAAGAATCTATTAGATATACAAGAACCTCCCTTACAAAACTAAACCAAAAAAAATAACGTTTTAGTTGTGTAGGTGAGGCCCAAAAATCTACTCATTATTGTAAATTAGTAGGAAGTAAAATTTAAATAATTTCGTAGTCGTTAACGGGACTGAATCTTGATATGACATGAATTCACAAGATCATTTTGAGATAAATGTAGTTCGGATCGACACGGAATGTCTATACTATACTACCTATGAGTCTAAATGCAGAAACAGAGCAATATCAGTGAAGTTAGTTAGTAATAACACTATAAAGTAGGTACATAAAACGTGATTACTTTCTTTTACAAAACCTTTAAAACCTATTGAAGTTATTGCCAAAATGCCATAAATTATGTAAATTGTCTCGTATCTCTCAAGGTAGTTAACATAAATTGTAGATGCTGTGGACACATATTATTTTTGTATGTACTAGATTAAGACATTATGCATATTAGTTCTTAAGACGCTATTGTACAATACATTGTTTGTGTTCCTTAAAATAAATAAAAATATAAATAAAATCAAAGGAATGTTTGTACACACCAAAGACTTCTATCGTAGAAAGAAACTGCTTAGTTTTAATCGGTTAATTGGTCTATGCAATCCCATAATGAAATGGCGGGGTTATAGTCGTGACTAGATTGCCTATTAAATAATGTTAAATACGCATCTTTACATGTTTTAATTGTTTTATATAAGACACTCACCTACAAAAAAGCTTTTCTTAAAGTTTAAATACGCTTCTTTTATTTATTAGTAACAGTAAAGAATATATGAGCTGCCATGAGAATAAACGCAAGCGGTTTTTTATTCATTCTCATTACTAATGACTAACATATATCTTAAAGATATATAGCTTTTAAATAAATTGCCCATTGCTGCGATAACTTGATCGTAACTGGTTGTAAACCACCACGTCGGGGTCAAAAAGTATGTCTCTGTTCTCAGAGTGATTAATTATTGTTAATTTATTCCAACAGCATAGTTCACTAACTTGAATTACACAAATTTGATAAGACTAAGAAAGAAAAACATTTAGTTATAAAATTAATGTTTAAAGTTTTAATATGCTTTTGTCTGCCCTTTCGGAGTAAAGACGTGATTGTATTTAAAATTAACTGCCATTTTTCTCAAAAGGTTTAAGCACATGATAAAAAATTTAAGCCCATGTTAGCATATACGTATATGATAGTTACGCTAAATGACGTTATGTATATGACGTTAGAAGATATCAATTAGTATACTGTAAAATACCTGTATGAGTCATACTTACATCAAAATTACTTTAAATAAATAAAAAGAAAGAAAATGAAGAAATTCAGCATGAGTATTACAAAAATGATCATAAATCTAAATAAATACAGAACAGAGAAAGACAAAAAAGTAAATTATTCTCAATATTTGTCAATATCATCATTCCGAATCATCAATGCTCATACAATATATATGCCGTATACTTGTAAATCTATACTCAAGGCTCGACAGACGACATTAAGGAGGCCATTTTTTGGTTAACTAAACCTGGCAATTGACTGAAAATGACAATTAACGGTTAGGCTTATAGGTTTAGTTTGGCGATGAATGTAGCGAAGTGCCAAGCCATCAACGTATGACTGGAAGGTTAGACAAAGATAAACTCCCATCCATTACTTTTAACAGCCTAGTCATTCCCTTCAGTCCTTCTGTTATTAATCTATAATTATCGACTCCAAGTTCAGCTGGCCAACCCAAGTCACCAGTGTCATCCAGAGAGTTACGCTACGGGCCTTCTATCGCCTTAAGAATTTCCTTCATTCCTAGACAAAAGCGATGTTAGTACAGACCCTTTCTTTCTTTCTTTTCCCTCTCTTGAATTATGGTGATGCATGCTATTGTGACCTTAATGCAGATTTAAATATGACCGCCTTCTGAATAATGCATTCAATTCGTCTTTAACCTTCGCAAACACGACTATGTTTCCTCCTTTCGTCGCGAATTGAACTGAGTCACGATTCGTCAGTGCTGTCAGTTGCGCATCCACACCACTTTCTGTTCCATCATCAATCACATATTTTCCTTCCTACCTGACATCCTCATTCCAATTTCTATGTTCCAATCACAATAAAACCCTCTTCGTTCCTAATCCAATCTGCCCTCCTATGGAACGCTCTCCCTCGATAAATCAGGATAGCGCCCAGCCGCCTTTCATTCAAGCCGCAAGTTTTATATATTATTTATGTATTATACGATTATAACTTAGCAAATATATTATGTATGTGTATTTCAGTATTTACTCGTATGTATATCAGTTCCACTGTTTCTGACCGTCTTCTCAATTCAAATTATCTCTTTAAAAATTAAAAGAAACCTAGTGCTCCTGGTCAGACATTTCCCCACCACCCAATGGTAGACTGGGCGAAAATGCCTTGGGCATTAAGTCCGACATTGTACATTTGTCATTTGTGCACAAAGAACTAAAAAAATTCAAAATATATATAATCTATATATATTTTGAATTTTTTCCAAAGTGTCGATAAAACATCGTTTTCTTAAATAACTTGCTGCTTTAGTAAAGGTTTTTAATGTTTATTTTTTAAATGAAGCTTTCCTATTTCCTTTGATCAAAGAAAGAAGACATTATTGGCATGAATATAAATTGAACTTTATGAAACTTACCTAAAATATATTTTATATTTTTGTGAGAAATTTTCAACTTGAGAAAATTCTGTTACACCATCATGTGTTCTTTACGATTTAACTTCCTAAACTCAGCTTTACAATTTCGCAATTTAGTGACGTAACACAATATAATTAAACTGAAGACGAACTCTGGAAAATTATGATCTCATAAAGTATATTATTATGTTGAAACCGCCTAATGTATACAAAATAATTCAATGTTCTTGTTAACAAAAATTGTGGTTAACATAAGTACATTAAAGTAAGTGCATAAATAATACAATCTCAAAAATCAAAAATCTATAATTATGTGTATGGGAATTCTAAAAAAAATCTTTCAATTGCCTAACATTCGACTAGGTTGTGAGGTCTCAGGCTGACTGAACTGACCGATAGTGTAAAAATTAGTAACGCAAAAACCATTCAATAGCTTGTTTCCGTTTCATAAATGTTTGTAATTTACTAAACTAGGGCGGGAATTTTCTTAAAAAAAATGCTTGAGTTCTTCAAAAACTATATGGACAAAATCTTCGCAACATTTTAGATTGTAATACATCTAAAGTTTAAAAAATATTTATTAAATATTAATCAAGTGAACGACAGGTTATCTGATAATTATGAAAGCACTGCACAAAATTCCAACAAACAAACATTAATAAAATTTTGTAGGTCAGGTAAACTAGATAGTGAATCATTCAGATTATTCATTACTTAATACACTGTGTGAGGGCAAATAATGTAATCATAATAATAAATACAATCGTACCTTTCCACCTTCTAGTAAAGCCGAGTAAAGTTGTCCCTTGGTGTACTTATTGTGAATCTGTGAATCTATTGAATGCTACGTAAAGTTTGGGAAAATTATTTTAATAAAAATTGCTGCCATAATCGCCCTAGAAACCTCCCGTTTCCTATGTCATCGGAAACTTGCAAACTAAAGCTCTCCCTACTGATTTCGTGCTTATGTAATTTACGAACCAACTTCTCAGTAATAATGCACTAAAAGAAAATAGTAAGTTGACTAAAGAAACTTCGATAACAAACATATGTATGTATATCAGAATCAATAATTATTATAAGTTAAATATTTCTCGATGCTCGGACGACATACTGTAAATTTTGCTGCTAGATTGTTCATGATCACGATAATGAAATAAAATTTGAAGAAAATAATATTATTCTAATCTTGCCAACTTACTGAAAGCATCAATTCGCAAGCAAATAATTCCGTTTTTGCGAATTGAATAGAGATTAGTTTTAAAACGGGAATATTCGTTTGATGCGCTCGAAAAGATCACTAAGCTAAAGGTATTTCCATCAGAATATAAATATTTTACTTCTAATACTTTTAGTTTTACAATAAAAATTTAAATATCTTCATAACTGCACGGATGGCGTAGTGGTTTAAGCGGTCGCCACGCCGCTTCCTACTGCGCCGAGTGTTGTGGGTTCAAACCCCACATGGGAACAACACAAATTGTTGTTCTGAGTCTGGGTGTTCTTTGTGTCCGTCTCCTGTATGATTGTAAAGTCTCCTGCGAAACAGGATATATTCCTAATGCAGGAGTTGTCTTTTTAGAAAAAAAAAGAAAAAACTACACCTACATTAACGAATGTTTTATAATAATATTTTGAATTCACACTCAGAAATATTACTTAGTAGCCGGGATTTTTAGTTAAATTGATATTAAACTGATAGTACGAGTATTGTAGTTAAGTTAAACCTTATATTTTTATTTACATGAAGAAGAATAGATAAACTTAATGTTTTATCTTAACTATACATTAATACTATTTACAAATTATGTATTTTCATTATGTATGCGCTATATTTACGATTAAGTGATAAGTCAACTTTCGCATGACAATAAATTCAAATAATTATATTTTATAATAAGAATAAGAAAAACTTTATTTTTCTTTTACATCTCATACTTAAAATTAATACCGGTACTTGAATACTAATACATAACACAAAATGGTCTTGAACTCAGCGTATAGATGACAGCCAAGCCAATCATGGTTAACAGTCTTGGAATAAGCACAACGATAACACCCTGACCACGACCTGACTAAGTTTGTCTACGTAAACATTATTTTTCTACATTTCGGTGACAATGCAATTGTTACAACATAAAGGCTAAAGGCTAAAGGCCCATTAGTTTAGTCAAGTTAAAATAACACTAAATTATATAAATTAAGGGTGTCTCAGTAATAGTGCACGTTTCTTTTAGAATCATTTTTTTTCGTGCAAGTGGCAAATCTGAAATTTGACAGGTGTCACCTATGTTTACTCCGATTATAAAAAACGGAAAGAACTTTTCGAAAGAAAGAAAGCGTTATAATTGTGAAAACTCATTACAAAATGGGAAAGTTACGCTGAAGCCGCTCGCAAACTTCGCCAAATTGTCAGTCGAGAAAGTGCACCTAACGTGTCAACCACTCGAAGAGTGGTAAAAAAATAACGAGTGGTAAACCAGCAGACCATGGAAAGCACCGGCAATTCGTTCAATGGGTAATAGAGCAAAGTGAAGTCAATCCCAATTTTTCTAAAAAAGTCATCTTCTCCGATGAAGTGCATTTCCATCTGAATGGCTACGTGAATACACAAAATTGTCGAATTTGGGGCTCAGAAAATCCTTATGCAATCATGCATCATGCAGGTCTATTGGGAGTAGACAAGCGGTAACATGTTTCATACCCAAATGATTAGTTAAAATGGTACGGATCGACTCGTGAGATACAGAAAGTTCGGCGGCTATCTCTCTCAAAGTTGAATGAGGATTTTCAGTCACTATTTCCTTCACTTTTGCGATGTTAACTTCAGTTACAGACGTTGATGGCCTACCAGAGCGAGGCAAATCTTCCATTACATCTCGATCGCCTTTGAACGCTTTGTACCACTCATAAGCACGTGTTTTTGATAAAGTCGATTCACCGTAAGCGTTCTGTACCATTTTCAGTGACTCCGAACACGAAATTCAAAATTTAAATGCAAAATTTAAGACAAACTCTTTGTTCGATAGTTTTGTCCATTATGAAATTGGCAAATAATATAATATATAATATAATAATTTTGGCCAAAATTAAATCATCCATTCCCGATACTTTTTTGGCTGAATGTATGTGTAACGGAATATTATACAAACTGAATCAGAATTAGAATCGTAATTTTAGCATTTTTTCGAATTATTTAAAATCAGAATATCGTTTTTCGGAACGAGAACCCATCGAACATTTGATTCTTCGAACGTATAAAATCGGAAACAAACAAATAGCATTTACGACATTCGGTAAAATAAATTTCATTAATTTTAAGAATAGACATTATAATTCTTAGGTATTATGAAATTCGGACTTTTGAAAATCGGAATATTGAAATTCGGAATAATGTTCGACGACCGTGTGTTTGTCATAACGATAAATAGGAACTTTACTTTTAATCAGAGTCCTCACAAAACATGTAATTTTTAATGTACGGCTAAATATACTTAAAATTCCTTTTTATTTAAGTAAGGTGATGTCTTTTTGGGATGTAAAAAGTGAAACGTATGCATGCGTTCTGCACTCTTTTAATAGCAGCTATAGTTTTCTTAAATATATGTTTTCTTAATAAGAGTACTGAAAGAATTTAAACGTTCAAGCAATTTTATAATAGGTTCCATCTGCTCCACCTGAAAGAACAATGGCAGAAACATATTTACCTAAAACTTAAGCGTTTAAAAAATCGAGTCACAGTAAACTTAATCAATATTTTTTCTATGATTTATCATTACACCACCATGTGTTGTATAAGTCTTATAAGAGATAAGATATTTTTGAAGATTTTATTTGACCTAAGTACGTAATGTCAGATTCGCCATCACGTATAACTGACTAGGGATGCGTGGTGGCAATATTATTATTATGGAACATTTTATCGATAATCGATTCTTATAGCTTTGGCTGAAATATTCACCGAAGTTTCACTATTATGATTATGAATTTGCTTCTGCCCTCGTCTTCACTCGTACGGTAGAGTGACTGAATCAACATAATTAGAAATGATTTAAAATATTTTTGTCTCTCTTTAAACGATTTTAAACACACTAAAGAAATAGTATATAGTTACGTTATTTTCCACTACACAGTGTGATGACAAAAATACATTGTCATTGATAACGGCACATAAATAGATATACATCGATATTTTCAAAATGTCGATACGTCGTCGTTTAGATCCTGTCAAGTTCCGGACTCACCACGTTTGTTATTTTATTTTTGTTTAATTTAGTGTTAAACTCGAATAGATGTTATGCTTTTATTTTTTTTTATTTCATGTACTGTAATAATATTGAAAATAATATTTTCGGCTATCTGACACACAACGCCATCTAGTTTCAAACAAAACATTAACAATATGTTAGTACTTAACCTCGAAACATTCAAAATCCAATATCTTTTTTCCTAGACTTCTTTCGCAAGTAATTTTGATATGAGAATGGTCAAGAATAAATTCTCAAGTGTTAAGGATTTTTTGATATTTAAACGCTAACATTTCAGTTCAAATAAAATTATGTATGGGGACCTGCCATTGTCCTTTCACGATTTAAGTAATTATTTCGAATTAACAGGTGCCCCAGCTGTTTTTCTAATAATATGGGTGATATCGAGGAGTTTCGTCAATGTTGTTCCATCCGGATTTGGAGGTGATGGGGTGAGTAAATGTAAACATGTGTCAGCTTTTGACAATAACAAGAACTGCAATAATAGTAGCTGTCATTTTAATATAACTAATGAGTTAATTTAACAAAACAAAAGCCTAATGCTGCCTATATTTAAAGTAAATAATACATAAGCTATTATATAATATATAGGCTATATTAAAGAATAGCTTATGTATTAATTCTTGTACTGGAAAACGTTACGACACCATTTTACATTTTAAAGCAAATGTGATAAGCTTACCAAGTAAAAGGCATCAAGAAAGGTTTATAAGGAATCAAAACGTTCAAGTACGGATTAATATCAAGTGTCTCGTTACACCAAAAATCCATCTGGCGTATGCCCTTGCCGACCCCTATCCGGGTTTAACGATGCCATCAAGGAATATTACAAAACCTTAATTTCAACCTTAAGGTTCAGTCTATTACGTCATCAACATTTTGGAGCAGTGAAAAGGGTAGCCAATCCTATTTTATGAGTAACCAATTTGTTTTTATTTTGCAGTTGGCCATAGCGGGAGAAACCAAGATGTGTATTTGGATGCATGAGCACCAAGTTGACTGGATACACAAAGCTCCGACTTTAGCGGGGCTAGCGTTAAATCTATTTTTCTTAATTAGAATTATGTGGGTGCGTATAACAAAATACATTCTTACAATGAAATTCTTTTCCAATATTCTAGATTCCACTGAATACTTTTATTTAGGTAAATACTTACAAAAAAGTGATCAACTTTGTTTTCAATCTAGAGAGTACGGTGATCAAATTAATTTGAGCAATGAACCCTTGAAAAACCCTCCCGTAGGAAATTAAAAGTGGGCATCGAGAATTAATTCTACTTCTAAGTTTAATAATAAAATCAATATCAATAATTCGACAATGTTAATATATTTTTTTATTAGAATTAATGGATTTTGTTCTGAGACGGCCTTAAAAAGTTCTCTTAGCAAAAGTCCTTAATTGGCATTACTTAATTTGTAATTATAAAAGCGTATGTGGAAACAGTTAATTAGAACATACCATGTCGTACGAGTACATTAGGAACCGTCCATCATTGAAATCTACAGGAATCATCTTTAGGGACGCATGTGTATAAACAAGAAAAACGTTATTAATCCTCAATCTAAAAAATGCCTTCCAAACCCTCGGAGGCACTTCTAAAAAGGCGATCCAATAAATATAACATATAGCCTAGATCGGTCTTGAATTATAAATTGGTAAACTTTTTCTTTATCTTACCCTTCCTTATACCCTTCAACGCAGTTTTTGTAAAGATGTAGTGATGTTAATGTAGTGTCTAATTTAAAACGTTTGATACCGACAAGTGAAAATTGAGGAACATATATGTTCTTAACAGGTTTTAATCACAAAACTTAGATCGGCCAATACATTGGAAACGGAGCAGTATCGGAAAGCGACCAAAGCGCTACTAGTCCTGATTCCACTGCTGGGCATCACAAACCTACTGGTGCTCTGCGGACCGAGCGACGAGTCTTGGTTCGCACACGCCTTTGACTATCTTAGAGCTGTTATGTTGTCTACACAGGTAAGAGCGTGATATTTTCTATCTAACTAATCTTCACAAGAATATTGTAAGTACTTTTATCGCCGTTTCCCGAAACACTTGTGATGGTGAATATAGTGGTTACTAAGAAAAGCGGTTTAATAACATTTTGTTATTGATATTATTATAATTAGCAAATGTGCTTAAAAAGTACAACCATCCCATTATTTTTTATTTTGTTTTTTTAGTAACATTTATTATTTAATGTACACGTAGTCTTAAATAACAAGGAAATAATTTATACTAAGTTACAAAATAGATGGAAAAAGCACACAACATGTTGTGTATATTAATTTGTATTACAATTAAAATATTTACATATAAGCATCAAAAACTTCCTCCGCATCATCGCCTACTGGTAGCGTTCCCAGAAGACTGCCAGCATTGAGACGTTGAATGGCAATGCTAAATATACAGTATACAAAAATAAATGACATCAAAAACATAATTTATAAATGTAACAAAATAGTTTTTCCATATAGCAAAAATTTTAGAGATCTAATTGTTCTTAAAAACACTGGTGACCGTGTATAATAAATTAGACATCTTTGCTTTTTTAATAAATAGAACTATGTACATTCAATCTGCCCATTATAGTACCAATATTTAACCAATAACAATGCAAGGTTTCCTTTAATACCTTAAAAATATAAGGGGTAACAAAAACATTCAATTTTAAGTCTATTAACACAAAACAGTGGCTATAAGCACAATATGCACATATAACCAAATACATTAATACAATCTAGTTATATCATATTATTTATACTAAAATCTGTTCAACAAAGTTCATCAAAGTCCTTTACCAAGTCAAATCCTTTCACCTCCCCCTCTTTTGTAATCCCATGTAAAGTTTATATACCATAAATAAATACATTTTTACTTTACAGTTCTTGATATATCAGCTAATATTACGGTATTGATGTCGTCCCGTCACTACTTACTGCTACACGCCATTGTAATAAAAATTAAACCATGGCCGCTGGAAATAACGAAAGCAAACGTTTTTAATAAGTTTTTTAAAGAGGTATTTCTGTTCTTTTTAAGTTAAGTAGTTTTTAAGTTTGGCGTTTGTACTGCAAGATTCCACAATACTGGAACTTATTCCATTCCGTCATTTCCATTGCTTTTCTCAACCAGCTAGTGACTTTGTAAAAATACTACATATACAGTTTTTTTCAGCCAAATAAAATCTATAATCAAAACTAATATAAAAAACAAAAAATAATAAATAACATATAAAAGTTACAACAAAGTTTTACATCACTTTACCAGTTTTACATAAAACCCTCGTAAATCGGATTGAGAGACCTCAAAATAATACCCCATTGACTAATACTGCAAAACAGTTTGTTCAAAGAAAGTTTTCACAGTGACTTCAGTTCCTTACAAATAATCTTACATAAGCCTTTAGACACTTTGCGCTTCAAATTTCTGTCGTAATGAACTTTGAAACTTGGCCGCGTCTGTATGTTCTGCCATTTCATGCCTACCTTTTGAACTGTTCTAACTAAGTCTGTTGTCTATATAAATAGAATTATAAATAGAATTATATTATTGGTCATTTCAGACAAATCAGTAATCGTCATGATTTTTGCAAAATAAGGTTACTTTATTTTTTAATGAGAATACAGAGAGTTCAAATTCGTAATAAAAAATAAATTATTGGAACATGAAAAAGAAAACCGTGAGCATAAATTACTTCGTCTAACACAATATTTCCTTTTACAGGGATTCACAGTAGCGTTGTTTTACTGTTTTATGAACACTGAGGTGCGTCACGCTATCAGGTATCACGTGCAGAGGTGGAAGACTGGAAGGACTATCGGAAGAGGAAGACGAAGAGGAGCCTCTTACTCCAAGGACTGGTCGCCTAGATCTAGAACTGAGAGCATACGGTAAGAAACGCTCAAAGCACTGCATGTGTCACGGAAGAAGTTAATAAAACTAAATAGAATCGTGGTAGTGTTATTAGTTATAATGATTTACAGAAGATATGAGCGCTTTTGATATACTTACTAATTGAGGTGTGGACCTGTAGCGATCTGGGATGAAGAAACAATTATATATCTTCAGGAACAGCTTCACGCATCATCACACTAAAAGGGATGCATGCAGCTCTCATACTTTTAACAAATTTTAATTTCAGTACAACGTTTTAACACACCACTGCTTCCGAGAATTGTTTAATGTAGCACACTCAAGCCACGTAGCGAAGCTCTACGTACCGTAGCACATTATTATTTTACACAAGATTAATAACTATTTTTGAGAAAATGAGCTTACTTACAGAAGTATGTATTTTTACAAGTGTACTTGATTTTTCCCAAAAATAATTAATGATCTCTAACAAATTTACAATTAAAGAATTAACTTGTAAAAGCAGCAGACAACGGTGTTGTGTTCAAGGCGTTTATTTGCATTGTATAAACACATAATAATCTTTGTAATACTCTAGCTGCACTTCAAATGAGTGCCCGTTTGTATTATTCGTCAATATTAGGTAACATTTTCCGACACTTTATTCTGGAATAGTCTTTAAAATGCATTTTTTCATTGAGTTTGACAGCGATGCGAAACACAACTAATTAATTTATTACTTTACAGCAAAAACTGGTCGTATTTCTACGGAACCCTAAAGTAATCGTTACGTCATTGTTGTCGCATTATGAAGTACTTACTGACTTGCAGAAAACTCAACAAACTCGTTAACAAAACCTTTGTCATTACAGTCGCTTATGAATGCGAAAGAAATAGGTGACATTTGAGTTTTTTATTTAAAAAAAAAATCATTTTAAGGTTTTCATTGGTGAAGGAATTTTTCGTACAACGTTAAAAACGTCGTGATTTGAATAACTCTATTAGCAAAGGTAACAAAGTAGCAAAGGTTAAATAATAATTAGTTTTAAAACAAAACATTTATCAATAATGTAGGCAACTTCATAAGTTCAATAACCTTTAATATACAAATAATAGCTATATATGTATAGGTGTCTTGAGATATCCTTACCACAAACAAACCTAAAACCAGCACTGTAGGTATGTCATATTTCTATTTTGAATGATAATCAACAACAAGAATCACTCTGTAATCTCTATTTGGCCAAAGACATACGAGTATAATACCAAGTATTGACGCCTCATTAAACCTCCTTTCTAAGGAGAGCCCTATGTCCAGCAGTGGACTGTTAGAGGCTATTGATGATGATCATGATGACGTAGCAAAAATAAACCATGTGCAATATTAAACACGTTATTAAAATTTCGTTTTCGGCTCAGTATTCGGCTCAGCTAATTGCTGTAAAAAAAATCATAAAGTTGTGTTTTCGCAAAGCTTACTTGCACGCTTGTGTTCCGTCATAAAACTGTATGCATTTTTCTATAACACTTTTCCAAATCCATATTTGATCAGGTATTTTTATTTCCCAATAGACTCACGGTATGAAGAACATTGGAGGGTCGAATGTGGACGTACGACTTGTTTCTTTACCGGATTGGACTAATGCATTTATGAAGACGATAAAAGACGATACAATGTGGATTTGGAGGGACTTTTATTGTTTTATTTTTTGTTACGTATATTTTATTAATTTTACAATAAACCAGTGTTTTATCCGTTGCACGCTTCTTATTCATTATTTCTATAATACCAACCCAGTTTTGGCAAAGGCAATGTTAGCTGAATGTAAGACAATTAACCTTGCATGGCATAATCATGATTGGCATGGCAATTACCATTGTCATCAACGCTTTATATAAATATTTTAAGATCCTGCATGAATTTTAATACTAAAATATTGATAAAGAAGTTGTTATTTGAATAGTACAACATTTTTCGTGTTTTATATTAATGTAATAAAGGTAAAAAGCTTTGAGTAAATTTAACTTAAGTTCTTCTGTTTTAACTTTAAACCTTAAGACACTATAGAGATGAACATTATTTAAACATTTCCATGTTATTGGCATTTGTCTTGAGTTTGTCGCTACCAATGGAGACTGTGCCTAATCTCTTCAAACTTTATACTAATAGTTTGAATTTAATAACCAAAAATAAACTTTACTAACATTAGGTATTTGAAGTATTGTATTTTCAGTGTAATAGATATACATCAATAGAATTTACTTAAAAAGACACTAAAGAAGTAACGTTCAGATGTTTTCTGAACGAATTGTCTAAAAGGATAAATTACCAATGTATAGACGCAAATGGAAGGAATCGAAATGAAATAAATTATGGAGTTATTCAGTCGTACAAATAACTAATACCAATACAATATGGACATTTGAAAAAATGAGAAAGCCTTTAAAACATACGGTAAAAATAAGATTTTGAAACATTCACTAAAATTAGCTGAATTATTTATTTCTTAGAAATAAATGTATGGAAGTTCTAAGCAACCGCACAATTGTTGCAACGAGTATGCTATGTTCGATCACAACATATGGCATATCATTACAGAGGACTTTTTAAGTCGTGATAATAGTTAGGTACTATTTTATCTTTTTCGAAAGACTTACAAATTCCTTCATTCACTAGCCTTAACCCTGATGTTATATACAAATGTTACGTTTAACATGTCTTTTTTAACATCATATTATTTCACATAAATTACTCAACAATAACGTAGTGATAAGTTACTCGTATTTTAACTTGTGTTAAAAGAACAATGCAGCAGCAAGAAACACACTTAACATTTCATAAAAGAAAACGTTTCAAATCTTTCATTTCATCTGTTTTACCGTGAGCTAAGTTGTATCGAATTCTTGTGATTTCGCAAGTATCTTTGGTTTTCTTTTTATATCGAAAGATAAATAAGACAAATCTGAACAAATCAAACACTAACTCTGTGCCGATTCGTAGAACTGAGTTTCAACTAATCCTATAATTTTACTAATAAACATTTGAACTGAACACCATCATTTAAAGAACAATACAGAATAATGCAATATATTTATCTTTGACTCAACCCCCACAACTTGTAAGAACTTGTCCTAAACAAACCTACGTTTACTGTATGTTAATAGATGTATTGGTATATACATAGTATACAGCTAACTTCGAACTTAGTTTAAACAAGAAAATCATTTTAAACTACTCACACTACTATGTAGAATATAAGGTTGTTTGATGTATTAAAATAAAAAACAACAACGATATACTTTAAGCGAGCTTTATTACACTGTCTCATATATCCATTATTGTTAAGGGATAACTGGTATTTTAATGGCTGCTCCCTTACGTTGTCTACCCATATTATCTAAGGTCGTTTGACTTTAAACACTTGCTCCAAAACTATTCTAATAGCTTTAATTGTTTAGCCTTGCATTGCACCTAGTACAGGTATAATTTAATATTATTATTATTAGTTTTGGTTTATTATTAATATCGCCATATCGCCGTGACTTTATTGTTTCTACAAACTTCATGCATGTTTATTTTGACGCTTGGTGCATGAATGATAAACCAATCGGTATGGTTTCTATTTATACTGATGTTATTAAGAGTAAAATAACTTTGTCCACGCATTTGCTTAGTAAGATTTTTTGTTAATCATTACCCTACCATTTAAAGATCAATATTTAATGTTTTACTTATTTTAATACTAAAACGACTTAAGGACAAAATTACGCTTTTTTTCATTATTGGCTGACCCGTTTTCACTCGAACACCATATAAAACAGCTTTAAGATGTCTCTAAATATAAGCGTATATATACAGAGAGTGTTTGAATACGGATGTTAACAAGAAGACTGTGGGGCAGGTTGTACAGCCACCCATCTAAACGGGAGTCTGCTGCGTCGGAGACAACTACCACAACGCTCCTAGTGCCTCGCCACTCGTTTGCACCAACTCTTGATGGCAGGCATTTGCATGCTGTAAGTATATTAAAACCTCTTTTCTAAAGAGAGACTTATGTCCAGCAGTGAACTATTAAGGGCTGATGATGATGATGATGAAGTATCTCAATATATGACACGTCACCGCATTATTACCGTCTCACCTTTTAAACTGCAAGGTTCCTTTGGGGGTGGGTTTCGTAAGGTATCGTTTCTACTCTGGTAGGACTTAAACATGGGACTTAAAGAATGCACTAATGATTTTTAACTCAGGCACCGCTTATCTATCAAAGCTCTAAGCTCTACGGGAAATTCTCATCTCATCATTCGGGGAGTTCTCATCTCACATCTTATAACCCTCTCTGCTTAACATTGGCGAAAAGATATTAAGATATAACATTTGTCCTTGCCGATAGCAGCCTAGACACAAAAGAATCAATTGACGACCAATACAAATGTTAAGATTAGGATAGTGAAAACCAGCGCTGGCAATAAGGGTTATGCATTTTGCCATGCCATTTTATATCCTCCGTCCTCAACGAGGTTGAGACGATTTCAGTATCACTCGGAATTTGTATTTTAAATTCATCTTTTGTAGGGTAAAATTATGTTTTGCTGTTATGATTTGTTTGCTAACTGATTCTTCTGTTTTTTATATACGAGGATATATCTATTATGTATTGTATATGTATATAAAACGTTATGCAAATTGGCAATGCTATAACTGCAAAAATAAACTACGAGCCATTATTGGTTAAGGTTGTATTACTGCACATTCTCTGATGATAAAGAGTCACTTATTAGAGTAGGAATAAAAATCTTCATACTGTTACTTTTATGTAATCTGTGACACTATCAACTGAAAATTAATGAATATGTTACTATTATCAATGTTTTATCAAAAAGCAGCAAAAGTATTATCAAATTACAGCAGTATGCAGCATTACTAATACATGCATATAACAATAACTGCACGGATGGCGTAGTGGTTTAAGCGGTCGCCACGCCGCATCCGACTACGCTAAGTGTTGGGTTTGACAAAGTCTCGTTCCGTGTGGGGACACGGGACGACACTTTGTGTGATCAACAAATTGTTGTTCTGAGCCTGGGTGGTCTTTGTGTCCGTTTCATGTATGTTTGTAAAGTCCCCCGCGACACAGGATATATTCCTAATGCGGGAGTTGTCTCTTTTTTAAAACCGAACTGAAATAACTACACAATTCTCACACACGACCGTCTGATCCCAAACTAGGCAAAGCCTGTACTATGGTAACCAGACTGCTGATTAACATACTTAAATATTTCTAAATATATACATTTTAAGTTACACCTAGACACAGAACAAATGATCGTGCTCATCACAAAATTATTTGTCCTGGGTGGGAATCAAACCGATAACCTCCGGCTTAACAGTCAAGGTCACTAACCACTTGAACCATTACAGGCCCGCGGTATATATTTGAATAGTACCTAGATAAATTTCTGCAGGATTACATCACTAGTGGCAGCGCGAGCGGTGATCAATCTCCCGTGTGAGAAGCGGGGCGGGGGAGGCTGACTCGCCTACGTACTTTGCCCGAGGAAGACACGTCATGTATGCCTGACGCGTCCGGACCCGCCTCTCCCGCCTCTTCGACTCTACTCTGGCCAATCACTAATTGTGAATGCCCAGTCTCCAACGCATCAGCAAACGCCTCCGTACTTCAGAAGCACTCTTCAATTCCACACATCGATATTTGCAACTCCGATACAAACACACCAAACGATAAATCAACAATAAATGGACCCTTCTCACTTACAAACGGAGTGGACGGTGTGTCACCTAACTCATCCAATTCTAGTTCGAATGCAAAATATTATGAATACTAACTCAAATGCGTGTGATGTTCCTTAATCCATTGTAAATTATTCAAACTTCAAATTTATTGTGGCCTGTCCACAGTTCCACAAGATCATTACAAGAATTAAAAAATTACAGATCTGCTTATTCTGTACTAAATAATTACCGTTTTTATTAGTAAAATTTGTACAAAACGAGCAATCACATTTCCAATAATCCGAATGAAAACAGAGGCCTTAATTGTAAGTTTATTTCACATTATGAAATAAACTCACACTTGGGCCTCAGGTCCGTATTATCTCATTTCCATGCACATAGTTATAACGTATTAAGTAGGTACATATTAAGAGTAAAGTTATAAGTATAAAAGGATCTGTATTGATTTATAAATAAAAAAATATATTCTAAAACCATATTGACATTATCAATTAAATATTATTAATTATTATAATAACGATAAGAACCTAAACTTAGGAGAAATCACACTTTTCTTTATGAGATTTAGGTGATTTACTATATATTAATGTGTAACTACGCGATTTTATGAAAAGTCAGAGGTAAATTTTGTACGTAATTCATGTATGTATTTTGTAGGTCAGTTTACTCAAGGGATGTCTTCTCTTTATACTTTTACCGCAATCTCTCATTACAAAGATTCTCCGACTCTTACAATTTCTAAATAAACTAAAAAAAAAAGAGGACAAAACAAATTGCATCCCGCTTTTAGTTAGAGTCACTCAGACTCTAACTAAAAGCGGGATGCAATT